GGAAAAAGAGTCATAGATACAGAATCATCATCAGTTAGCAAAAAAAAAAACCCTGACTTCACATGTGTAACAGAAAATTAACAAAACTAATGGTTTCCTCTTAGTAGAGAAGAACCTATTACATCCATGTCAAACCCTTTGCTATTTCAAATTTAATACTCCTCTTGGATCTATATAATTAACCTTGGTGATAGAAAATAAGAATAAGCTATACAAGCTGAAAAACTGATATGAGCTTGATCCCATAGCTCACAGTTGACATTCTTAACCCAGGATGTGTCTTAAGGACAGTGTGAAGATACCTACAAGTTCTGGCATGAGTGGGAGGAAACTGAGGGCACTGGATACCAGCCCAGCTACTGCAGGCTGTGCCCTGAGCAGTCCCCCATGCAAGCCCTGGCACGGAGGCACTCTGTGGCAAGGTGCTTGCACCACTGCTCTTTGGAGTCTGCCCAAAGGTGCAACTCAGAAACTACTCTGGATTCAAGACAGTCATATAGGTAGGTTAAAAGTTTCCAGGGTCCCTTTTGTTACAGGATGTCTCTGTTGCATCAGCCCAGACACGTCCATCGGGAGGATGTTCAGACACAGGCAACAACATGCAGACAAAGGGTAGACGTGGAGCACAAGCACAGTCGAGACATATTACGTCCACTGAAATAAGCAGAGCATGTCTAGAGGCTTCTCCCAGCTGCACTGGGCATTCACTCAGGGCTGGCTCTTGCTTTAGACAAAGTCAGCAAAGTTTGCACAGATGCCAAACAACTGTGACTGAACTTTGCTCTCAGGGCACCAGAGAGCCCAGCTCAGAGCAGATGCTCTTCTCACTACCAGCCAGGTAAGGGGGGTCTGCGTGGGGTTGCAGCTGTGGCACCAACAGGGGATAGCGGGGAGCAGTGACATCCCCAACCATCATTGACCTCTCCCCTTAGCCAGTGCCCTGGAGGAGTGCAGAGCCCAGCTCAGCATGGCACAGTCCTCAAAATTTCTCCCTTCCCCAGGGGAGAAAGGGCTACTCTGCCCAGCTAACACTGAGGTTAGTATGCTATTAATTATACTACATGAGAGTCACTGAACTCTTGCAGAAGAGTGGGACCACTGTAAAGATATTGTATTATTATTATTATTATTATTATTATTATTATTATTATTATTATTATCATTATCATTATCATTATCATTATCATTATCATTATCATTATTAGTTTGTTTAGTCTTATGTCAGGGGAGAGAAGATGGACTGTTCCCCACAGATATCAACTTTTGGTTTTGTTTTTAAATTAAAGCAATATCTTCACAATAACTTCATACCTACTTGTTAGGTACATTCTCTTAACATTTTTGTTACAAACTAAAATATGGAAATGTTTTGTGGAATTCAGTATGGAAAGCAAACTTCCTGAAGCTCATGCTGAAAATGCATATTGATCAATCTTATCCTAGTTTCTTGAAACACACAACTAGATTCTTATCCCATTTAAGCTACCCTGAACTCACAGTATGATACTCTCATTCAAGCTGGCTTCACAAATAGCAGATTTCTTCTGTGAGTTCAGACAGTCAAGGGCAAAACTTAAACATACTTTATTGATGCTTATTCAAAATTTGTTGTCAAAAAATAAAACCATTTCTTCTGGAATTAAAAAAAAATAACATCCCTTCAGTGGCTTCTGACCTGTTTCCAAAATCCATTAGTCAGGTATACCAAAGTCACTACCACCAGAGAAACTGGGTCAATCTTCCCATACTGACCCAAGACGTCAGGAGAGTACTAATATCTGTAGGGCTTTTATCAGCTCCCTTAACGTTCCCCTTTATCACTTCCATTAGCTTTACTTGATCTGAATTTGCAGGACAGAAAGTGCTCACTGACAACTACAGACAATGCATGACCAGGCAACATCTCTGCAGCACAGATGCAGATGACAAGGTTCAATAGGCGAAGGTTCATTTTTGTTTAGGTTTCCTGATTGCCCTTAAAAATGACATACAAGACTTAAAAGGTCTGAGTACTCAGAAAATGATAATGGGGAAACAAAAATCTCACAGTAACCCTATGATGTTTCAACACGTTGCTTCAGAAAAAAATAAACACAAAGATTGCATAAAGACTGTTTATTAAAATCCATCTTTCTTCCCATTTACTGCTGGGATTTATTCTTATTTGTCTGTTAGATTTAGGAAATATCAAAACTAAAAAGAGAGAGAAGTCTTTTCAATAAGGCAAGACTGACTAAAACCGAATGTCCTTCAGGAAAGCATCTTCTATCTGCATGGGCAACATGTGCTTCTTGCACAAGACAAGCAACCCCATCTCACAGTTCTGTCTATCTCCCATTACCCTAATCCTGTAGCAGAAAGGCCCTGCTAGGTCTTACCGGTGTACAAAAGATGCAGCTGCATTCCTGAAGAGTGGTCATTTTATCTAGGGAATATTCACAGAGACATAGCTTGCAAGTGAGCAGGGGCTCCAGAGCTAACTCTCCAGCTTCTGACTCGTCAGCTGTCATGGTGTCAGGACAAGCCTTCCCAGCAGAGCCCATTCACTCATTAATGATCCGCTCAGCCTGAAAAGAGAAATCAACAATTGAAACATCGCACAAGCCATGTAATCACTTCTCATTGGCCTGAGAATTTACAGCTCAGATCCATAAAAGCACCTGCACGCCCAAATGCACTATTTTGGCATATTGGTGCCAATCTCACACTTCAGGCCATTCAATTTACCAAAAAGGTGTCCAAGAGCTCATCTCCCCAGAAGGCCTGAACTCGGTTAGGTTCTCAGAGAATATTCACCCTGCTGGAGCAAAGCACCTCAGTCAGGCCACTTATAATCAAATTTAAAAAAACCAAAACAATCAAATACTAACACGGATGAGACATTACCTACGTTTTATGCAACAGTACAGTGGTCAGAGCCCTCACTGAAGTTCTAGAAGCAGGGATGTGACTTGGAACAATAAATTCTTAATTAAAAAAAATAAACTGCATTCATATATACATACACACACACACATATATATATACATATAACTGTGATCTTTCAAATGAGTCTCAGTCATAGCCACCCCACCCTTATGAATCTTTCAGACTTCATTGCACACACACCATTTCAATGGGTATCTCTGCTCCCACTTTCCACTCTGGCTGGTGGCTCAGGAGCTCTCCTGGGCAACACAAGGCAACAGCAAGCAGATTCCTACTTCCTAGGCAAGCACTTCGAACATTTAGTCTATAATGTAAGTGGCAGATGCCATGAACTCTCCCTTCTCTGCGAGCCAGCACTGAGATGGCAAGCTGGCAGCCCATCACAAGAGGGCTGGTGAAGGCATCAAAACACAGGAAGGGATTTCAGATTGCATGTCCACATAGGGCTGGAGTTTAAATCCAAGCAAGTGAGAGTATTTCACATGCTGTCCTCTTTTCTGCATTCCTTTGACTATGACAGACAGCTGCCTGCTCAGGTCTGTAGCTTTTGTGCATTCCACCCTCTAGCATCCTGCTCTTCCATCTATTTTATAGGGGTTTTAGGCATCTAACTGAGGTTTGTGAACCATGAACAAACTGCAGTAGCAGTTTGACAGGGAGATGCTCAGAATAGCTGTGTTTCTAACACAAATTTTGTCACAGCACTGCTTGGGGAACAAATTTCTAACCTTTGAGAAGGAACACACGAAAACATCTTGTTCATATATAATGTTTTCTGACCTAAGCATTTGAAATCACTGCACCATAACCATAAAAGATTTCAAGATCCTCATTCTTACATAGTATCACTGAAGGATAAATTAAAGAGAATACCCTCACGCTTAAGCTGAAACAATGGAAAGCAAATTTGCAGATTTTATTCACCACAAAATAAAAGCTGAGGTTCAGTACAGCATTTAAGGCACAGGAAAAAATCTATCCTCATCTCCAATAAACTTGTCCCAGCTTCCACAGACCTTCAAGCAAGTTTCTTACAAGCAGTGGCCTGGTGGCTGGCTGCACACACCTGCGTGCAGCAGCACCAAGTAAGAGTGCAGCTCTACCAGATCTAACAATCTGCATCATGAATGGAGGCTGCATGAACAAGAAAACAACAGAGGACCAGGATTCGTCTGTGTGCCTGTCAGACCTGACATCTCATGAGGCAAACAGGAGACTCAGCCCTTCAGCCTGCTTCTCCTTGCCTCTCCCGCAGTCCTGAGCATCCTGGTGGCAGGGCTGCCAGGTCACATTTGGCAGCAGGTCACTGCTGGTGTTTTGCAGCTCCCAGAGTGGCCAGGCCAGCTGCATAACCATAAAAGATTTCAAGATCCTCATTCTTACATAGTATCACTGAAGGATAAATTAAAGAGAATACCCTCACGCTTAAGCTGAAACAATGGAAAGCAAATTTGCAGATTTTATTCACCACAAAATAAAAGCTGAGGTTCAGTACAGCATTTAAGGCACAGGAAAAAATCTATCCTCATCTCCAATAAACTTGTCCCAGCTTCCACAGACCTTCAAGCAAGTTTCTTACAAGCAGTGGCCTGGTGGCTGGCTGCACACACCTGCGTGCAGCAGCACCAAGTAAGAGTGCAGCTCTACCAGATCTAACAATCTGCATCATGAATGGAGGCTGCATGAACAAGAAAACAACAGAGGACCAGGATTCGTCTGTGTGCCTGTCAGACCTGACATCTCATGAGGCAAACAGGAGACTCAGCCCTTCAGCCTGCTTCTCCTTGCCTCTCCCGCAGTCCTGAGCATCCTGGTGGCAGGGCTGCCAGGTCACATTTGGCAGCAGGTCACTGCTGGTGTTTTGCAGCTCCCAGAGTGGCCAGGCCAGCTGCAGCCAGTCAGCGTGTATGCAACATGCTGGCTGGCAGTACCTGCTCAGTTCCTGCCCAGAGGGAGGAACAACAGTGCTCACAGAGCTCGAGGGGTCAGCACAGGTGAAACCCTGCCCCACAGCCCCCACCTCACAACCTGACATGCAGCCAAGCCCCATCCCCAGGCCTGCCCACTGAGCCTCCTGCCCTGTGGCCTCATGGGTCTGGAGAAGGACACTATCTTGTCAAAAGCTGTGAAACCACAATGATACTGGGTGGGAGCACATTTACTTCTTTTAATTTTTACACTTTGCAGTATCCTTTGCAGTCTAGCTTGACATAGAAGCCATCAGATGTGTTCCTTGGGATGTCCTTCCTTTAAGCACCCAGCTTTAGAGGCACAAGAATCATAGGCAAGATTCTGGAAACCAAATTCCTGGCCATGAACAAACACTCTCTATATCAGCTTGCTATTACTAGTTCAAAACATATGCCATGCCCACATTATTATTGGTGCATTCCCCACCTGCTACCATGATGCCCCCCCACAACTTGCTCCATACAGCAGCAGAGCTGGAGCTCCAGCATGGCCAGAAGCCCTGGAAGGAAACCTCCCTCTGAGTCAGGAATTGCAATACTCCTCTGTAATTACTGCAACAGGGGTGCGGGAGGAGCAGTGAGTCACTGGAAACGATAGAGCAGATCAGGACCTACCTGTTATTTAAAACCACATGCTAGATATTATCTCTGTATTTAGGAGGATTGTAACACATTTACTCAGGAATGCTTTTCAACAGCAGCTGCCTCTCTATGGGTAAACTACTCAACCACACACTGCAGATCTGACACCCCTTCATTTACACAGTAAAAGGCAGCAATGTTAAGAGGAGGGATGTACAAAAGAACAGGTAGGAATATTTCAGGATGTGGGTATGGATATAAAATGGATACAGCCATTTTCAAAGTCAGTATTATTTTTATAACCAAAAGGGTTATAACCCTGCATGCTTTTATTCAGGCAGAGGTAGAAAGATTCAATTGTATGACTGAGAGTCAGGCCTGGGGGCTAATTTCAGATGGCCTAACTCTGGCATTCAGTGTGATAGTAAACTCAAGAGAGTTTACCACAGTGGAGAGTAGGCTCCTGCTCTGCCCTACTAGCAACCAGATGCCACAGTGTGATGGCTGTGGGGACTCGTTATGATACTCCAGACTCTCTTGTCCCTGAGACTGTTTGTAGGTTAAATTTGGTTTTACTCCCTGTCTGTCCCCACACTCTTCCTTCCCTCACACCATGATGCCAAGAGTGGGGCTGAGGTTCTCCCTAAAACAGGCAGAGTAATTGGTGGAAATCTCCAGCAGCCACCAGCAAACAAACCTGGCAGACCAGAGGATCCAGCCCCCTCACAGCTGAGCTTGGCTCATCTCACCACAGCCTCATTAACCCCAGCAGGGCTCAGCACACAAAGTTAACAGGACGGGAGCCACAGAGAGAGCTGCGTGTCTGTCCTGCACAGCCTCCTGTTGGAACCTGAAAACCTGCCAGTCAGAGAGTGGATGCACAGCCCTCATGGCCTGCTCTTTTCCCCAGAGCAGCCGAACCAGCTGGTCTCTGCTTCTTCTCCCCCAGCTGGTCTCTGCTTCTGCTCACCAGAACTGTGGCTTCTGCTACTGCTGCCAAGGGAAGCATGCAGGGGCAAGAGTTAATGGTGACGGAAACGCGTAGGCCCACCCAAGGGCAACTGGGCTCTGAAGAGGAATCAGGCCTGTGGAGGAGGTTTATTCTCATTATCGGACTGGGTGGTGGAAACGATGGGGAGAGAAAGATACATCTTCCTCCTGCTCTCACTCTTTAATACCTCTCCTATCCTTTTGCAGCATTTCCAGATGCATTGTCCTCTCCCAGGTTAACAAAACCAGCTCCCCAGCTTTACTGCCTTGGCAGAACTGACTTTCCTACACACTGCAGAGAAGCTGTGAATTTACACCTCGGTTGCTCTGAATTTTTATAGCTTTCACTTTGCTACGCTTAGTTCTACAGACTGTCATTAGTTAATTATACAACCATTAGCTGTATGACAGTGGCTTAAAATTCCTACTGTAATTACAAGTGAATTGCCAACATTTTAGGTTGAAAACAAAACACCTAGGATGTATGTGTTGTGCAGGGGAAAAGGGAGTCACCGAAGAATGAGTTGGGGACTACGAAGAAAAGACTGTTCTGTACTTAGTTATATCAATAAAAGTGACCTGAAAGAAAAATAAATGGGAACTCCCTGAAAAAATGGACCCTTGTATAAATAAAATACATTTCCAAGCACTAAGATCTTCCCTTTTATGCTCACAAACACAAATGATCCACTTAGAATAGAATCCCAAATGAAGCAAGAAATGTATCACCGAAACTGGAATACAGCTCATAACTCCTCACAAAACCCTCCACTGAACAGCAACAAAGACTCCATGAGACTTTGTGGAAGAAGGATAAACGCATCTCAAGGACACTGTAACCTAAAGGAACATAGCAAACTAAATTCTGCACCAATGTAAATTGGTGACCAAGAAGGGTTAAACTGGCTGCCATTGACCGTCACCACTTCAATCAGACCATCCTTGTTGGTGAGCACAAGATCCAGCAACGCTCCTCTCCTAGTCGGCTTGTCCACCATTTGTATCAAGAAGTTATGATTGATGCATTGGAGGAACCTCCTAGACTGTGAATGCCTGGCTGTGCAGGTCTTCCA